TTCAAAGTGCACATGGTGTATTAGTTATGAATGGTCACCCTTGAAGGATAGAGTGGCCCCTTATTTGATTAGAAACAGCACTGTTGACGGTAGGTGATAATGACCTGGTTTGGGCCAGTGGTTTTCAACCTGTAGGATATGTACCAGTAGCACCATTGTGATGAACCCTAAGTGAGGCACAGGGTATTAATAACAATCACTGACAACTCACTCTCCCTTCACCCCCATGTCCTCTTGCAAATGAGATGTGCTGTTTCCTACTGACTCCTCGTGCCACAGATTATTCCTCCTTGACCAAGGTCCTTTTGAGGTCTCGTGTGTCATTTGGGAAAATCCTTATGCAAAGATCCATCACTACAAGTGTTGCTGTTTGCATGATCTAGACCTATTACAAACGCACAAACAAAAATCCCTTTTCTGTCTCTTCCTCCATGCTTTGCCTCAGCCACTTAATGATCTTGAGAAATGGGAAACGTCTTCACCACTCACCTGCAAAGGGAAAGGGAGAGCAAGTTTTCCATTTCTTTTTAATTATTGCTAACTGACACAAAACATCAGTGATGGTTTGAAAAGAAAAGATGCAGGTAGGCATTGATCGGGGCAGACTGGTTTGCATGACATGTTTGTCATGTGGTTGCCAGGAAAAAGCAGCAAACCAGCCTGTTCCCAACCTAGACCAAAATGCAGAACAAATGTCTGTCTGTTGTGGGGAACAGTTTTTCTTCCCATTGAGCCAGTGGGGTGTGATATTCATTTGACTACGGATACCAGGACATAGCTGTGGGAGACAGAGTGGTAAGGAAAGCAATGAGACAAATTTATTCTTAACATGAAGAAGAATCCTACTAGGTGCTTTCATGTATCCAGGCCTCTACTTATTATAGCACTGGACATGGAGGTTTCAGGGGAAAAAAAACAAGATAAGCAGCAGCCGTGGGGATCTTTGGATTGTAACCCGGTGGCAGCTGTATGTCAAATGCATTTCTTTACAGGCAAAGTAAGCAAGTACTCATGATTTGAGAAACTGATAGTGGCTATTCTGCATACAGTACTTTTAAAAAAAGCACCTTCTATACTCTGTGGAGCACAGTAGACAATTACTGAGATACAGATTTATCTGTGATGTCACCTACCTTACAGGATGTTTCATTACTGAACATTACTTTTTTAAGGCAGCTAACAAACTATGGGGTTATTTAGAGGAGCTTTCAGACTTTCCTGGTTTATTTTTAAATAACTAGTGCCGATTTTATAACTATTGTTCCTGCTCTATTATGTCAATATTCTTATTTTATTACAATTCTTATTAAGTACATGATTCTAAATATTCTGTGGTGTTTTTGCCTTGATGAGTTCTTGTAATTAAGGTGTAGTTTAGTATTACATTTGAAAGGAAACAAAAGGAAGGGAGATAAAAAGACAAAAAAGCTAAATCTTACTGTCTGACCAAAGGTTAGAAGAACGGAAAATACAATATAGATTGCAGTTGGCTTTGATGGAAGTTAATCACCTATGTGGCTTGTTGAACTGGTTGGATAGCTCAGTGGTTTAAGTATCTGGTTCGGAGCTTGATTCTGCGCTATGCCTCCATGGAGAAGAGCCAGCCTGTGTGGCCTTGGGCAATCTGCACAGTTCCAAGGTACAAACCAGAAAAAAGGAATGATAAATCATTTCTGAGTATTCTCTATCTGGAAAATCCTGAAAAGGGTATGCCAGAATTAACTTGATGGCACATATGATGATGATGATGATGATGATGATGATGATGATGATGATGATGATGATGATGATGATGATGATGATGATGATGGCGGCTCATTATAAGTAGCCAGTTGCTTCTACCAGAGATCTCTTGCAGCTTTCATGCTCAGTTTTAGAATTTTGTATGTGATCTGTTGTAAAGCAAAAATTCCAGCATTTCAAGGCCCTGACTATGGGTTTTAAGGTACTTCTCACTCATTAGGAATTTATTTCACCCCTGAAGCTCCAAAGCCTGTATCTTTGGATATATGTAACTTATGGTATCATTTGTTGCCCTATTTTGAATAGTATTTAAAGATTACCCTTCTTTTCCTATCAAATTTGGAGTGAGAGGAAGATTCTACAAGCTAAAGTTTCTTTTAAAACCAAATGGAATAGGAGCATTTCTATAAAACATGCATTTCTTTGTGTTTGTATCTTCTGCGGCACCATTAATGTTATTGTTTGCAAAATATGCTGTGTGGTAGGAAATTAACTACTATCTTGGTGTTTAAATATGAAATTTGCTTTCAGAAATGTTGGGAAAGGTCCAGTCAGTGTGGTGTTGTAGCTTTGAATCACAAAAGTAAGGAGATGAAATATCCCATGCGAACTGTGGAATAATTAATTGACATTTGATTACAGAAGCATTTGCTCTGACTTCAAGGCAGAGTGATAATACTGTAAGACATCTTATGGAATTAGTACACAGGATAAACTACAGTATGACTGTTTCGCAACAACAGAGTTTGGGCAACCTCTTTAGCCTCAAATACCAAATTCAGTTTCAGAAACGTTATCAGGCCAGTGCTAGATATGGCCAAATGTAAACAAATTGCAGTGTATTTTAGTGTAAATCTGTTACTGCTAGTAACTAAACTTGTGTGTGTTACATGCCATTGCATTGGAATGGAGTCATGGAGGCTCTAATAGGGCCTTCAAGTTGATATATTTAAGGAGTGGTTTTACCAGTGCCAACCCCTCCCCATGAATTTCCATGGCTGAGCAGGGATTCAAACTCAGGTCTCCTGGGTCCTAGTCCATCAATCTATCTATTACACAACACTGGGTATATACAGCTAAACTTTGGAGAGGTATTTTAATCTTTTAGAATTTGGGTGGGTCTGTGCTAAAGATGGGAAAACGCCAAATGGCAGTGTTATGGAGAAGGAGCATGATGGTCTCGAGAATCTCAGAAGGCTGTACTGGGACCCCAAGAAGGTTAGAGCTTTAGGTGCCTACCCTGCTTTAAAACATTTGGGGCTGGGCAGACAGAAGTTTGGAGGGAAGCTGGGTCTATGTCTTGGGTCAGACAACTGTAGAAATTGGCACAAAGAGATGCTGGCTTGTGTGCCCAGAACCCAGTTAAACAAGTAATATGGTAACCCAAAATGAAAGGGGGGGGGACAGCAGCTGGATAGGTGGAAAAATAAGCCTAGAAGGGACCCAAAGCGGCTCACAACATTAAAATTTACACAATTAGAAACACAATGTTAAATATTAAAAGACTAATTAAACAATATATGATTTAAAATAAAAGTAAAAGATTAAAACATGAAAACATGGAAAAGATTAAAATTATCTGCTGAAATGGGGTTCAGGGATTCAGTTGTAATTGTTAAAAGCCTGCCTGAAGAGAGAGGTCTTTGGCTTTTTTTTTGGAAGGGTAACAGGGAAGGGGCCATCCTGATCTCGTGAGGGAGAGTGTTCCATAGCCTGGGAGCTGCGATAGAGAAGGCCCTCTCCCGTGTCCCCATCAGCTGTGCTTGTGTTGGCAATGGGACCAAGAGGAGGGGCTCCTCTGCTGATTTTAATCGCCAAGAAGGCAAATATAGGGAGATACGGTCCTTCAGGTAGCCTGGACCCAAGCTGTATAGAGCTTTATAGGTAATGACCAGCACTTTGAATTGGGCCCGGAAACAGACTGGTAGCCAGTGCAGTTCTCGTAACAGGTGCGTTATATGCTCCCTGTAGCTGGCCCCCAGTCAGTAGTCTGGCTGACAAATTTTGGAACAGCTGAAGTTTCCAAACCATCTGCAAAGGCAGCCCCACATAGAGCGTGTTAACAGTAATCAGATGGTTCCTAGGTTTGGCACTGTTATGCTACACAAGTGCAACACACATTAAAATGTTTTCATGCTGAGCCAGTCAGCCTTGGGAATGAGTGGAAATGGGTGTCCACCTCACATCCAAAAATTAAGCTGCTTCTTCCTCTAGCACCACTGCCTCCCACCCACCTCCATCCCAGGGAGAAGCATAGCAATTACCATTTATTCCAGCCTGTGCCCCGAGACCTGGCAATCCTACTAATAACCCATAATAAATAATACCAGAACCCATGGTTGTCCACTGAAGCTGAATGATGGTAGATTCAGGACAGATAAAATGAAATATTTCTTCACCTCACATGTAGTTAAAACCCTGGGATTTATTACCGTACAATGTATTGATGGTTACAGATCCAGACAGCTTTAAAAAGGGATCAGATACATTTCAGGCTGTCAGTGGCCACTAGTAACAAAGGCTCTAGACAACCTCCGGTCTCGGAAACAGCATGCCTTTGGATACCAATTGCTGGGGAATACAAGTGGGAGGCTTCGGCTGCCCCCAGGGATTCCCAGAGGCAACTGGTTGGTCACTGTGCAAACAGAATACTGTGCTAGACAGACCTTCCATAGGACTGGCTGTGGCCCTTTCTACATTCATATGGTCTCTCTTTGCTGCTTAGTGACTGTGTTACCTAACAATTGCATTTTGCCTGTGGCTGAAATGCTACAAATGGTGCAGATGTACATGCATTTTTAAATTAAAGAAATAGCTAATTTCAAGGAAGATGCATGTGCCCAGCTAAGAATAAAATGATAAATTATAATTATAATAATTATCTTAACACTCTGAAATCTCACTCTTTGTGGGATTTGTCTCTCTCTCTCTCTCTCTCTCTCTCCCTCTCTCTCTGGCTTTCTTTTTTTCAACCTCTGAAGTAAATTCTTAATGAGTGATACTTAGCATTTTCCTATGGTGTAACTATTGTGTGAACGGCATGATATTTTGTATCTTGCAGAATGGAATGTTAATGCATAATGCAGGCTAGGTTTTAATATTCTGTTCTCCTGCAAAGCATTATTATGCGCTTAGAATGGAGTGGGGCGCGGTAGCAATTTGCTAAAGCATGAGAGTTCAAAGAGCTTTAGGATGCTGCGTAATAGAACAGATCCTGTACATGTGTTTTCATGACTCAAATTGGTTCTGTCTTCCAGCTGAAATCTCGTGTTCTCATGACTCCTTTAGCAATCTCCCCGCCACGAAGCACCCCAGAACCAGATATTAGTTCAATCCCACAGGATGCAGCCACAATCCCTAATTCAGCAGCCCCACAAGCCCTCACAGGTATGTGGAATTAACTGATCTATCAGAAAGGGCACTTTTTTAAAAAATGCATTTATTCAAGGGATTTATTCCCAGCGGGTTGCCAATTCAGTTTGCAAAATGAGACTGAAAAAATACAACATTTTATTGTTCTCAGTGATACAGACAAGTAGCTAAATTCCCCCTTCACTTTGTTTTATCTCCTCAGTTTGATTTTTAAGCTATTGTGGATATACATGGCAAAATATCAAACAGTGATGCGTAAACAAAAGGACATATTGAAGTCAGGGGCATCTTGTGGACTCAAGGGGGGAACCCCCTCACCCTCCAAATTTTTTTTTGGGGGGGGAGGAGTTTTTCTGCTGCCCTGACCATGTGATAGCCATGTCTGCATTAAGAAATACGGTGTCACTGGCAGAAAGTAGTCTGTGCTGTTTTGTATAAATAAATTTATCATGAGATCACTGCAATACAGTTCATGTCCCTTGTTCATGCTTGTAATGGTTTCGCCTGTTTGTTTGTATAGCCCTTTGATGACTTAAAGTGCTATGTAATGCTAAGTATTATTATTGTCATAGTCCTATTTACCCTGAATAAATGGCTTTGAGTCTTTTTATTGTTCAGCCTGAGTGGCTGCTAACACTTCAAGCACTAGATTTTCATTATGGTGATACTAACTGTATATTATCCCCAGCACTGTGTAGCCATCATCCACATATTTCCCTCTTTTATAATTTCTTTTGTCACCTATCTGATTTCTGTCACAGGGTAATGCTATATGTTCTGAAAGATGACAACTCTGGCGTGCTGGCAGCCAGCAATAATAATGCATCTTATTTTATACCAACTTTGACTAAGTCTACAATAAATGTACATGCATACACACACACATACTCTCTCTCTCTCTCTCTCAGTCTCTCTCTCTCTCTCTTGGGCAGGGGAGAAAAAATGCTTGAATATCTATTATCCCTTTCAAAATAGAGTGCTCCAGTATGTAAATATGGTGTGTCAATATGTCAATATCGGTTCTTGTGTGACAGTCTATATTATTAATTGTACACTCATACTCAGTAATGTCCTCTCTTCAAGGTTAGAATAAACAAAGTGCAATCTATTATGGCCCAATATGTGGACCTTCTGGGGTTTCTTGAAGTCCTCAAACCCATTTTAAAAAAATCTGCCAGAAAAATGAAACCTCGGGGTTCTTTTAGCCCCTTTTAGGGTCTATTGAGGGAGGGAACCTGGTTTCATGTAGGAAAAAAAAATCTCCGTGATTTGATGCAGTGGGATACTTCATGTTTGTTTTACAAAAGGTGTTTTGTGGCTTGACACAGGCCCATGGAGGCCTTACGTTAACATTTAATTGACAAATGGTGCCCTTACGCTTCTGGGGCTGTGATATGCCATTTTATCAGCAAAAATAGAAGGAACAATTTCATGAGGGATACACTTCACTGAGGGAAGGAAAAACACTTTGAATCTTCTGAAATCGCCCACCCCGGTTTAAGCACAGAAAGATGCAGATAAAAATCTGCATTTCTGTATCTCCACTTCTGTGGAGTGTAAAGTTGGATCAAAGATGGGCTAACAAATAACAAGATCAACCCCCTCCCCATCACTCCACAGGAAGCCAATCTTGACTTTTACTTAAGCACTTTATTTTAATTGGCTCTTAGAAAGGTAGACTCCTAGATTTACTTCTTTTTAACGCTGAGCAACTGAAAATCGTAATGCTCCCCTCCTCCAGTTATTTTGTTTGTATAAGTATTAGAATATAATACATCCTTGCTACCATTAGGAATCAATCCTTGATGAACTGGAGGATTCTTTGAAAATGAAAATGGACCCTGAAACAAATTTTCCTAGGGGGGGATGTTCCACCCAGTGTTCCCTGTTTGTTTTCCCCAAACCAAGGTTCACTCTTTCATTCACTGCCACCAGTGGATATCCCTTATCCACACTTGCCCAATATTTGAATCAGACACTTGCTGCCAACATTTGTTTATTTAGACTGAATATGAATCACAGATGTTCTTTTTAATCATTGTGTAGAATCCCTCATTAAAACTTCTTCTCTTTGGTTACATGTTCAATTCTTCATTTGTTTTATTGATTTATTCACTTTAACCAACTTATTAATATTGTTATTTTTTCTTTCTACTTCCCTGACTATCTATCTATCTTGACTATTCAATTTCTCTCCTCCACACTCTCCTTCTCTCTTTCACCTTCTCTCCTCTTTCTAACTCTCTCTCTAACTCCCTCTAACTGCCTAATTGACCCCGCCCCTCCTGTCCTCTCATAGGCTCCTGCACTTGAGCTTCTGCTATGATTGACAGAAGTGACATGGGCATTCCGTCACAGTCCCATTTAGCTTTGTTCAGTTAATGTGAGAATAGGCAACCTCTTTTCTGTTTGTTGGTGGCAAGCAGGTATAAAGCCAGTAACATATTGTGAGAAAAACCCTAGTGAACTCCAACACACCCCAAACAGCCACCTAGAGTGGTCGAAATGACTAGATAGGCGGGGTATAAATACAGTAAATAAATAAAATAAAATAAACACGGATTGGTTTTGCTTAAGTTGATTGTGTCATGTGTGTGGGCAGCTATTTTAATAACAACCAGGGATGGTGGTGGTGGATTTTCTTTGTCTGCAGTTTGCATTTATGTCAACAAGCAAGGAAACGTGGGGCCGTACCTTGAACGAAAGAAAGTGCAGCAACTTCCAGACCATTTTGGACCTGAACGGCCTTCAATGGTGCTACAGCAAGCAGTTCAGGCCTGCATCGACAGTGCGCACCAGCAAAAAACAGTCTTCTCACTTGTCAAGCAAGGCTATGGAGGTGAAATGGTGTCAGGTAAATGAGTGAGGAAATATATTGTGATAACATTGTGTCTGTTGGTAGATGTATTTTAAAAGGCCATAGCCACATTTTTCATTTAATTCCCTTTAAGGAAAAGTAGGACGTTGCTTCAGATGTTATATTACAGTCTATTTTTCATTAGGTCCATTTGAAAGTAAGTACAGTAAAGGGAATGAACTCTTCTGTTTGTGTTCAGTCCCCTTACGTTTAGTCTCCTTATGCCCTCTAGGGGGTGTGGGAAGCAATCTGGCTGTGTTATAAGGGGTCACCTAGGGCCCCCTCCATCATATTTTGTTTTTTCTTTTTTGTCCACTGAAGGGCACATGAGGACCCTTTTCACTTTTAAAACCCCCAGTTTTTCGTTAAACCCTCCCCCCCAAGTTTACAAAAAAGCATTCTGACAACTCTTATAATCCATTTAATTTAAAAATGAATTAAATTTAAATGTTTAATCTTTTACCACTCCTCTCCTCCCTTTAGCCCAATCTCTTGGGTATGTGGCCCCTTAGGCTGCTGGCAGATCTGAAAAGGAACCTTCATCCCCTCATTGGAATTGCCCACCCCTGCTTTAAATGAAGAATGCTACCCTGAATGAGCACACAGACTTTTATTTAGCCTTCAAGGAATACCTTGCATTCCATTGTATTTTGCATTTTGTGAACAATGAAGAGGTCAAGTTTATTTATTTATTTATTTATTTTATTTATATCCCGCCTATCTGGTCAAGCGAGGACCACTCTAGGCGGCTAACAACCTTAAAAATAATACAGTAAACAATGTAAATAAACAGTTCTAAATCATAAAAACACTACATTACGATGCCAAAACACAAAACATAGAACAGTAAAGAAGGAAAGAAAGAGGTCATGAGTTATGTGATGGAAAGGCCTGCCGAAACATCCAAGTTTTTAATTGCTTCTTAAAGTTGATTGCTTTAAGTTAGTACTTGAACATAAAACACAGTCTTTTCATCTGGTATGGATGTACCAGATTCCTTCCTCAGTCTCCTTGTTCATGATGTTATTGCACTAGATGCAAGCAAATAAATATATAGGCTGCCAAATGATGAATTAAACCAGATATACTGTTGTGTTTTAGCAATTAGGCCATGGTTACTTCCTCACAGAGTTTAGTAATAGCATCTTAAAAATGTTGCCTCTCATTCAACAGAGATTTAAAAATTCATGATTTTACCTGCTCAGTGCCAAAGACATTCATTTTTGAGAAATGATTTTTGCCATTTTAATTTGTTATAGGCCAGTTTAAGTAGCTATAGTAGCTTGGTAGGTTTATTCAATAATTTGGAATGGTTTACAAACAATTTTGTGATTTAACGATGTAATCAACAAAATAATTTGTAATAATCAACAAACTAATTTTTTTAAAAAAATCACAATACCTTAATCATAACCATTTAAATTCTTTGCCATCCTTAATGTTAATACCTTAATGGAAGCACAACAATGTTCTGCTTCATTGGGAGCAGGCTGTGAAATTGTGAGGCAAGAGCACTACCAAACAAGGGGGGGGGAGCGACACATTGCTCAACCCTTGGAGGCTCTCTGCATGCTCTTGGAGGCTGGTCCCCTGGCATTGCAGATTCATGGGGAGAATCCTCACACGTTGAGAAGGCTCTCTTCTGCAGAATATCATCTCCACATGAGGTGAATGCTGCAAACACACAAGGAGAGCTCCCCCCCTTTTCATGTATTTTAAAAATGTGTTCGTTCAATAAAATATACCTTCCCCCCACACACTCCAATTATTGCTATGGTCTCATATGTTTCTACACCTTAAATACTCACTCTCTCACACTCAGTACAAAACAGATCATGATTACAACATTGCTTGGAAATAAAAGGATTGTAATTTGGAGTTATCTTATTAAATATACATTTGAAGAACAAATGTATATTAAGAATTATTTAGTCTGTTTTTAAACAGGCAGCCATAGAAATCAATTTCAACATAACAAAAAGAGCAGGGGGAAGAGTCTTTTAACTTTCATGGGTTTAAAATCTATGGTTTGTATAAGAAGTGGACTGTAATCCACAAATATTCATGTTATAATAAATAAGTTAAATGTGCCATAAATGTGCTTTTCCTTTATTTTTTAAAATTATTTAGTCCACTGAAAATAGATGCAGAAAAAAACCTAGAAAACTGTTCTGTTGCAGTGATCATAGCATTTCTACTACATCGCAGGGGCCGTCCATGCTGTGCAACCCTGAGCTTTATCCTGCTGTGCAACATTTAATTATATCTTATTTCCACTTTCATTTCCCCTCGAGGCACTCTGATCCCAGTTTATTTTAGCTAATTCCTGAAAACATGCCAATCAGTTGTGTCCAATAGGATTCATTCTTTTCTTCTTGCAGGGGTATGATTGAATTCCTATTAACATTAATAAGATGATAGCCTTATAGGTTTAGGCTTCAAATTCATTTGACGTGGTTTCTCCAATTAGATTCAAAGCGAAACACCAAAGCTGAAAGATACGCACATTTATTGAGATTATTGGTTTTTCTCTGCAGGAAGTCAAAGACAAAGCACAGGGGCCATCAGTACAAAGCCTGATGTAGGAGACATTAGTGCAGCAGCAAAACAGGGCAATAGCCCTATTCAGGCATTACATTCTCTGCTTTTATCCATCACATGAGCAGAGCAGTACTAGCCCCTCCCTTTATGTTCTGATGAATACTGCCTCTGCAGAGGAAATCCATGAAATGGAAAACTATATTCATGTGTCCAAAGGATGGTTATTTTGAAAGTGCTGGTCACTGTCAGACAGAACAGTCTGAAGAGGCGATGGCCTGCTACACCTGTAGCTTTTCTGTCTCTCTTCTGACAGGGACAGGCAAGGAGCAGGGCTTTCTCTGCTCATGCTTTCAAATTAACACCATGCTGCCTTTGTTTGAATGCCTGAATAGGGCTCGTGTGCTGATTACAGTTTTCTGTACAGCAACATTTTTATATGGACTTGGAAGGAATCTGCACAGTGGATATGAAAAAGGTATCAGGTGGGTCATCTTTTTTTGATGAGACATCTAGAGCAACATGAATCAATGCAGCTTTGTCTGCAATACTTGAATCCTTCATGTATTTATATAGTGGATGGCCGAGAGGTCAAAAGCCATGTGGGTCACCATGAGAGCAATGAAAACAATAGTCTTTTGTTAAGAGAACCTTGGTCTGTTTTTCTCTCTGTCTCTGTTGCTCATATCAAACAATCCCCTAATTCCCTTCCATTTCCCTGCTAGTTTCTGCTAACTTTGATGGGAAACAACACCTCTTGAGCCTGCCAGTAGTGAACAGCATCGGTTATGTTTTGCGGTTCCTCAAAAAGCTTTGCCGTAGCTTATTATGTGACAATCTTTTCAGCAATCAGCCTTTTCCACAATATAACACTTCTGAAAACCCCGAAGAATATGAAAATGGACGGATGGAATCTGGTAGGTTTAAAAGCTATTAAATAGTATAAGGGTGAAATTATCCCTTAAACCAACATTCATGTCTATGGATATAAATTTTTGCTTATTTTATTCTCACAGGAGAGAATGACAAATGTTAAAAGTTTTCTCCCAGCTAGATGAGAGTACACAGTGCAAGTTTCACATTTGGGAACTTCTTAATAAAAAAAATTCACAGATGTTCTTTTGTGTAAAAACCTTGTATTTTGTGCAGGAAAAATGCATTTGCACAAAAGACATTATTTCATGGGAAATACAACTTTTTGCATAAAATACACTTTCTTTTGTAAATTGCAAGGTTCTTCTGCAAATTATTTTAATTTTGTTTCTGCTGATGCTGCTTATTATTATTTTTAAAAATCATTCATATCTGTGAGTGCTGGATGCCAATGTCCAAGATAGATTTTATTCTAAAGGCCCAAATCACGTAAGAATGATGAAGGAGATGTGTTATCAAATCTCTTGTCTTGATATGCTTTTTCTTATAAGATAAATATTGAGGGTGGGGACTCAAATGTTATTGCAAGAATATTCTAGGGTGGGTGAACCCCATGCTGTTTCCCAGATCATAAGCCCTATCTAGGCATTACAGTTTGCAATCAAGGAAGGCTGTAACCATGATGTGAACAGAAATATGCACATACGTTCGACACCCACTCAATCAGACCCTTGTGTATTTAGTCCAAAGTCTAAAGATGTGTTTCTAAGAGCATTCCTTTGAACACACTTCCATGACTGAGAGCCCTGCCTTACCTGGGCTCCTGATCATGGCAGCACCATAAGAGCATTCAGCTAAATGCATTTACAAATACCCTTTCAGACCTTCACACTGCACGTATAAAATACATGACATCCAGGGGGAACATTGAGGGTGAGACTTATGCATCCCCCCTCACATTCCCACTAGTTAAAACCCTATGTTCTTTCAGGCTGTAGTGCTTGAACAGGGCATCAGTCAATCTCTGAAGGTGTTATTGGTATTACATTGAAGGCTGGCCTTTTGAGTTACTTGGTGTTCATTGATCATTGGGATTATTCATTTGGGTTGTTGCTGTTGTGTGCCTTCAAGTTGTAACCAGTGTATAGTGGCCATAACAGGACTTTCAAGGTAAGTGAGATAGTTAAGGAGTAGTGTTACTACTTTCACACACCCAGTGAGTTTCCATGACAGAGCAGGGATTGGAACCAAGACCTCTTGAGTCCTAATCCGTTACTCGACTCACTACAATGGGTATCCAATGTACAGTACACATTTATTATAATATATTGATGAATGTTATTGGTATGATTGTTCACCAGTTTAATTGATTGTGTTGCTTGTTTTGATTTAGTCATTACCTAGCTTGAGTGCATTTTACAACTGAATCCCTGAACCCCATTTCAGCAGATAAAAACGTAATACATAAGTAAAGTAAATATGACTCCTCTTTTACTGGTTCTCAGATTGAAACTGGAATTCCCCACAGTTGCTTCAAAGTACAGAAAGGGCTGGGGGAGCTAAACATGAATTTCCCACATAATGCCTACGTTCACTCTCACAACTCTGTTTACAAGATTTTCTCAACTCTAATTTGATACTTTTAAAAACAGGATGTTGTATCTTCTTCCCTAACCACTCACCTCAGTGTATGTGGCAGACAAAGGATTGAACACCTTGTTGTTCCTTTTGAAGTTTTAGTTTCACGTTGCTTTTGCTGTCATCATATGCCTTGTCTCATTTGATTAGCATTATGTATGCAATGCCGTTCTCAGTGATTTCTACATGTGTTACCCTTTCGTGTCTTCTGAATCCTGATTAATTTTTTTAGCTGGTTGCTGGATGATTTGGGGGATTGTCTGTCTGTCTGTCTGTCTGTCTGTCCATTGATCGATCGATTTCATTTGATTTTTATTCCACATTTCTTCCCTTGTAGAAGCCCAAGGCAACAAACAAAAGTTTAAAATAAATAATTAATTTAAACAAATCAATTAGAATTTAAAACCGCAATATACAATATTATTTAAAAGTCCTTTCCATCTCAATTGCCTGCCAAATCCCCAAAAGCCTCTCTATAGAGGTAGGCTTACAGGAGCAGGTGGAAGGAAAGGTGGGAAGGGGCCCACGACACTCCCACAGAACAGAGTTCCACAGTTTAGGAGCAGCCAGAGAAAAAGTCCTCTCTCAGGTTCTTATCAGATTTGTTTCCGAAAGTAGAGGGATTGAGAGAAGCCCTCCCCTTAGGATCTTAACAGCATGGGGGCTCATACAGGGAGATCTGGTCTAGCTGCACTGTCACCTTCAGATCTGCCAAATATTGATATTTTGTGGTACAATCTGGAGTGGGAGTGGAAGTGCTTTGAGAATCGAGGTTGGTAATGACATTTGCCATTTTGTTCTGTCATAAAAAGTTATTAAATTTTAAAACACGTCAAGGACATTATTAAAAACCTTTCAATGGCCAGACATAATAGTCATGCATGTCTCTTTCTTGACTTCAAAATGATATTCTGAAGGGGAGAAAAACATGAGTTTCATCACTCAAATGCAATAAATGGGCTGTGTTATTCTTTCCCTTATTCATCCCATGGTGGACTCAATGTTGCCTTCCCAGTCAGTGCATGGCTTTGGAGTACAGTCAAAATGAATGGCTTTTATGGTTATCAGTAGTCTCGGCTTTGGTTCAGCATTTAATTACCTGCACAAGCCATTTATTGCCTCATATATTCCTCTGCCATGAACATTATCCCTTAAACAATAAATAAAATATTAAGGTCAGATTTAAAAGGGGAATGGGAGATCCATGCAACCCACTCAACCACAGCAAAATTTAATAGAAAACTATTTGCCTCGTCTAAAAAGGTTTGTGGAGAGGAGGCCATTATGTTGTCTGCAGCATTTGAAATGAGATGGAATGTGATGATTGTGTACGAGGATTTTTCATTCTTTCTGACAGCTGAGCTGCAGTCAAAAGTGGGGTTATGGCACTGCCACCCGTACACCCCCCAATTCAGGCACTGGTTGACAGTGATTCAGTGAAGGGGACATTACATTAGCATAATGTGCCATTTGTAAACACCTACTTTGCACAAAGGAGAAACTGACATTTATTTACTGTACTGCTTTCAATTCATGACAGCTGTCTAATGTCTCTGTAGACCTACACTGGGATGTTGCCTGGTAGATTTTTGTTAATATCCAGCCATGTGGTGGTTTGTTTCTTTGGCTCTCAACACACACCCATAATGCTTCCTTTTAGTACTGTAGGCAGTCTGATCCCCTTAGTTCAGACACATATGTGCAGGCTTCATCGTATGCTTGTACTGTGGCTGCCCATATCAGTAGCAAGACCTGCCTGCATGATGGACCCTGTCACCTGGTCTTAAGCAGCCCGGGCAGCTACATCAGCTGACACAAGTCACGGGACCTCAAACTTCCTGCAGGGGTGATGATCAGAGCACAGGATGGAGGGAAGTGTCCTGATCTCATTCACGTGTCCTCTTTAGCGTGCTGGGATGTAAAGATTTTTCAACAGATAGAAATGGAATGTCTAAAATCAATAAACTGTCCTGGAATCAGTTATCATCCAGGATAGCATAAGATGTTTGAGTTAAACAAACAAATAAAATCCATTGGTTTCACATTTTAAAATAATCTTCATTATATTTCCCTCTGTCCCCTATGTTCTTACCTCTAATTATGTGATGCGGGGTGGGATGTTCATCTTTGCGCATTTACATATGAAGAGCAAAGATCAATTAGCATTGGAGTTCGTTGGTTCTGTTGGAGAGCTACCTGCTTCACTATCTTCCTTTTCATAATTACCTGATCAGAATTTTAATGAACTGGGTGTCATAGAGTGAGCCCAGATAGAGAGAGAGACGTTAGAGCATTCTGTATAAAATAGGAACAGATATTGTTTATATTTTTCATAATGAGGTTTTAGGATTGATTGGGTGTGCTCAGTGTTGGCCTGCAGAATCACTAAAGCAGAGGGCAAGGCTGAGTGACCATGAGATCATAATGCTGAAAATGGATGGGTCACGTCTGGTCATGTCATTATAGGAAAAATATGGTAGCACTTTAAAAGATATAGGGATGGGATCACAGGGCAATTTCAGGATGAAATAATAATGTTAACAGCACCAGTGAGAAGTGATCAGAAGGATGGAAGGGAATTGACCCAATTCTTGATTTGTATAGGTAGTGTATAATGTCTATTGTTTTTGCACCTATTCACTATGCACAAATTAGACCAAACATTGGATTAGAGTTTGGGCTGGTTTTCCCTCTCTCTGGCATACCTATCTCACTCCAAGATACACATAATAGATCACCATTGTCTGGAGAAACAAACTGTGTTTGGCCTAAGCTGGTGTGACCTGTACATCACCACAATCACCACCGAAAAAGGGATGGGGGGGAGTGGAGAAAAGGGCTACTAATTGTTTTACTATAGCACAAAGTAAAGAACTATTGCAATAATTAAGACAGAGAAAAGGGGTCACAGAATAGTAAGGGCCCTTTCTTGAGTGGCAGTGCAGACTGTAATGGAATATACTATCCTCACAAGTCTCTTCTGTATTATTTGGATAAAAAGGTAAAGGTAAAGGTTCCCCTTGACAATTTTTGTCCAGTCGTGTTCGACTCTAGGGGGCGGTGCTCATCCCCATTTCCAAGCCATAGAGCCAGCATTTTGTCCGAAGACAATATTCCGTGGTCACATGGCCAGTGCGACTTAGACACGGAACGCTGTTACCTTCACACCGATATGGTCCCTATTTATCTACTCACATTTGCATGTTTTCGAACTGCTAGGTTGGCAGGACCTGGGACAAGTGACGGATGCTCACTCCGTCACGTGGATTCGATCTTACGACTGCTGGTCTTCTGACCCTGCAGCACAGGCTTCTGCGGTTTAGCCCGCAGCGCCGCCACGTCCCTTTATTATTTGGATATCCACACTTAAATCGTCTGTACAAGGGATGTTTCTCTTAGCTTGTGAAATGCCTATAAGAATTCCCTCAAGGCACAGGCCACTTTCTTAGCCGTGCCTTTGCAGAATCCCCATACCTCCTTCTCCATGGGCACCTACCTGGTTTTCCTGTTGTCCCAACCCTACTGCTTACTGCATGATCCATGGAAGCACACAACCTCTATCCTCTGCAACACAGAATGTTGCTTAGTAAACATTTGGCACAACATAAATTTTAATAGTATTAGAGATATATAACAGACACATCAAATACTAACTGCATCATGATAGCTGACAGAGCCATCGTCGTAATAATTTCTGTTCCTGGGACAAGCATACAATTCCTTGCCTGTCACAGGGAGGCCACTGGGCCTCAGAATCAAGGGTACCACTTAACCTTAGCTTCAAGGGTACCACCTACTTAATCTTAGCTAGCTCATTATTAAGGTTTGTCATCTTCAGAGAACATGTATTTTGCCCACAGAAGGTCTTAAACGTAGAGTCAGATGAAGGATGACACTAAAACTGAAATGCAGTGGTGGGTTTGTTTTTCAAGAAAATGTATATATGTGTGAATTTCATGGGGATCGTGGTTACAAAAGGAAGAACTAACTGAATCCCCTCTACTACCCAGTGGAATTGGCTCCATGGCTCTTACCAATTAAAAAGGACAACCACGGTACTTCAGGTGGCACATTGAGTGTCTTGTCCAGTTTAGTCTGCAGCCACTTCCATCACTGAAAGCCAGTGTGGGAAGGGCCTTTAACTGGAGCCATGAAACGAGGTGACATATTTGAGCTATGTTGCTAGAAATGGACTGTTATAACTTATTGGTTGAAATCCTGCAGCTTGTCATAGTAAGACATACTAAAGTAGGCCTACTGAATCAGTAGGGATACAGTGAGTCAACTCCTTTTTAAATTCCATTAATTCAAATTGGCCTACTCTAGCTGTGACAAACTGCAATAAAGTCACAACTAGAATAGGCTCATTTGATTTGATGGAACTTACAGGGGAGTTGGCTTGTCAAATCTCCACTGATTCAATGGGCTGACTTTTGTGTGCTCTACCATACTAAGCAATAGGATTTCAGCCATTAATTCACATATCACATATACATGAAGAATTTTCCAGGATCTGTTATCCTGAGCACATGTTATCTGAATGCTTTTGACACATTTTAACTACATAGTGATTGCACCATAAGAGCATGGACCCCTGGTTGCACTCATTGATTCAGAGAAAGGAAGTACATGGGGGCAAGCACAGCTGGAACAGTCCACATGTTGTGTGATAAAGTGGTAAAATCATATGGCTAATGTCCTGTTGCCTGAACACAGCGTGGTAGGGAAATCACAAGCATCCCACCACTCTGGCAGGCTCCCCATCATATGCACATTCACATACTACTTGTAAGATGGGTCGCACAAAGAGGAGCTTGCCAAAGTGGAGAGTGCTGATTTTGCAGTTTTACCTTCTTCTCAGTGTTTTGGCAAGAGGATGCTAGTCTATTTCTTTAATTTGAGTACTAACAGCCCAATGAACTCTTTGCATGCCTTCAAAATGAAGTGGTTTTCTTCACAGTAACCAAAATGCATTATAAGAAACAGCATTAAGTATAGGTTCTGCATGGCACCCAGTATATTCCATAACTGTAGAATGGAGGCATAGGGGGAAGGGTGTGAGTCGGAGTCAATGTATATTTTTTTCTTTGTTTCTGTTTTTATTGCCTTTTAAAGAGTTCTTCACCAAAAAATCTGTAGAATGTCCCGTTCTCTCTTGCCTCATTTCCCTGTTCCAGGTGCAGAACATGTGGTGAACAGGACAGCCTCTGCCTGCCGTGCTGTATTCACATTGTGCCATTAGGCAAATAGGAAAGCCCTGTGGGCCAGCCCCCCAGAAACCTTCTCAGCCCCACATTCTTATTTAATCATACACTCTTTTAACCAAATAGAAAATCATGCTGAGGCCAACTAAGCACTGCTGCTAACTTACATGTATTATTAATTAATGCGAGAACGAGAAAGCTACTGTCCCAGAAATTAATTCAAATTCATTCCCTATTAAAACTCCTCATAGATAAATTAAATGTCACACCATCTAGTTATTTCCATTTTGTTCACACTTTACTTTGCTAGTGTATTTAAGCTACCTATCTACTATTTAGGACTGAAGGGAAATGGAAAAGATCATTAACAGAGAACTAATTTTGCTTTGCTGAAAAGCAATGGTTTCTTTCATTAACCACAAATTCTTTCCTTCTGGGCAGAAACAGTCATACCTGAAGACTACCTGGTTGATCCAGTGGCCACCAAACACTATAGTGTAGATCCCTCTGATTCTGCCTTTAATTGTATGGGATCTGTGTACTCTGGGAGGCAGAGTTCCGGAGATGGACGCCATGGTGGAGGATCCTCTTCGTCTTGTAGTCATCGTCCTGGTCAGATGGCTTCTGGAGGACCCTCAAGTGCTAGTTTGAGGCACCAGACGTCAAGCCCAACCCGAAATGGAACTTACCTGGAAGGAAACAGAAGTGGTAATTCTGTTGTATTCACTTTCACCTACTAATGCTAGCATTGTGTTGAAGGAGTATGAAGAATCCTAGCAAAATTACTCTTTCTTGATGAGATGGGGTGTGTTGACGTGCCAAGACAGTTTGTCAAGAAATCGCTGAGATTTCTCACCTCAGCACGGCAACCATTTCCGAAATAGTGTTACAGAAAGTTAGTATTATAATATTACATTTCACTACCTATATAGGTCAAATTACTTTTTGTTATCTTACTTTTGTCAAAACCTCTTTTTTCTCTGATTTGATGGAATTACAGTTGGTAATGTGCAAAGGAAAATTAATCAGAGTAGTACTTAAGCTGAACTATGTTAATGAACACGAGAGGCCTTCATCGCAGTTTATATGAGATTTGCACAGCAGCAGCAACAATAATAATATAAAATTCTATTGCTATTCAACATTTCTCATTTTTTCCCCAGTTAATGATGTTTCCTTGGAGCAGGCTGCAGTGATTAAGTATCTAAAACAACTCTTTTTTTTCTTCAGCACAGCTCCTTGAAAAATCAGCTTTTGATTTAGTTCTAAGGAAAGCACAGGTTTTGACCTGGAAAAAAATTGAGCACAAAATCTTACAGTGACTATAGAGGTGAGCACATTAGCAAAAAATGCAGGAAATACTACCAGTTTTGGGGTTGGCTGATTGGCATTTTTTTCCTGTTTCTCACATGACACAATGGGAAATGTGAATCAGCCTGGGGTCCTGTGTAGCCACTTAAATTGCACAGACTCCAGTTCCCTGGTGCGACTTCACAGCAAGTGAATTTGTGAGAAGTCACATTTCCAACTTGACTGATAGATCTGTCATATTTACTTACTTATGAACCTCGTGGCTCAAACAGCAGTACTGCAGTGAAGTCTCTGCTCACAACCAGTTCGATCCTGGCTCAGGTAGCTTGCTCAAGGTTGATTCAACCTTCCATTCTTCCTAGGTTGGTAAACTGAGTACCGAGCTCTCTCTGTGTATTTGTGAGTGGGGGGTAATGTATAACCTGCATAATTTAATTGTTAATTGTCCAGGGAGAACTTTAAGCACTGTGGGACTGTATACAAGCAGCACACCTTGCTCTGGGTTGCTTTTATTTCGGTACTAATACAGTAATGGCATAGTGTCCCCCAATGCAACAGAAGCTTTAGTTTGATTTCTGGAGCCTAGAACATTACTGGGCAGAGAGATATAGCTGCACGATTCAGGAAATAACAGCTAGGAGCCTGTTACTGTTTGTTCTCATCTGCTTAAGACTAGGAACAGCCCAGCGGTGTGTGCTGAGGTCAACCATGGCTTAATATAGTCAGCTGCACCTGGAAAAACCTTGGGATATTAATGCTTCATGTTCCTCCCTCCCCCATCACTGCATTCTTCACTAACAGATTCCCTTGAGCTAGGAAGCAGGAGAGAGAGGACATTCTTGATCATTCTTGTCAGAGACTGCTAGGTAGTTTTCCTTTAGGATGAGTGAATGTTTTTTGGGTTATGTCTACAAGCTTTTGAACCAAAAGTGTGTGTCTTTGTTTTAAATGTAATAAAGTGAATCTTCTGTGGCTGAAAATGAATGTTAAATGTAACCCATGACCAGAAGACAAAAATTCTTAATGAAGGTGTCTGAGTGTCACAGCATGAGCTTCTCTCAGTTCCTTTGAAGTCTGATTTCATAAACATGGGAGGACTCTCTCAGTCATAAGCTACATTAACATTAACATTCTGCTCTGCCACCCTATGGGCTCTCTTTAGCATCTGATTCTGGCCGAGGTAAGGAGGAGTAAGACACACTTGGAGGAACTAAGTCTAAAATGAGAATGGTTTGCAAACCCCTTATGTACTGTTTCAAAATATGTATCTAAACAAATCCATCTTTATTTCTGTGCAGTGCTACCCTTTTTTTTAGGAAATTCAGCTTTTATAGTCAAAGTTGCCATTTGGGAAAGGTCCTGATTAAGCTAACCGCACTGAATTGCCAGTACAGTGGTGTTTGTTGTTGTTGTTGTTTTTTCTGTCCTTGTTGCCCTTGTTCATTTTCATTGTATACCAGCTACTTGGGCATGATTTTTTCCCTTGAAAATGACTGGGAATCCCAGCAAATCAAGATTCACATCCTAATTTAGAAATAGCTATTTCTGAATTAATATATAATTTTATTTTATGCCTAATACCTGAAGAAGGACACAGCAGAGACGTGTTGAGCCTGACCTTTTTAGAGAAGAATAAAGTCTGTGTTGTCAATATTTGTCTCCCATTTGTAGTTTGGTGGTCAGTGTTTTGAGCCTGGCTGAGAATAATCAAGGCCCTTTGACTGCATCCTCATGGCTGTTGCACATTAGTGCCTTTCCGTACTCGCTTTGGGAAATTTCATTGTTTATCAATGCAAGGTAGTTAACCACGTGCACCCAAATCCAACTTTAGTCATGCTTATTTTATATACAACGTACTGGAGGAAGAGCATGGGTGAAGTTGAGAATTTGACTGCAAATTCTATTGGAAACAATGCAGTAAAGATGGATGACGCCGCTGTGAAATAGGAACACATACGTGACCAGAAATCTGAGATGAATGAATTTTCCAAACCCATTTTTCTTCCCAAAAGGAAAACAGCACAGCTTATTAAGCGAGACAGCTTATCAGATCTGCACTCCATTGTCTGGTCAAGCTTTGCCCGCTAAGAATAACGCAAGCCTTTCACAATCAACTATACTTTTCCTGATGTGAGAATAGTTATAACAGAATGTAGCTCTGCAATCCTCTTCTGCCCCCTTTCTTCTGAGCTTTCAGATGGTTTCCACTACAACACACCCACCGGCACAGAAAATACTACTAATCATCCTGCCATTGGTTCATCCCTTCTCCCAGGGTCCAATGTCACATGATCCTTTTCTGTGCTGTGGAAACATCTCTGAGGAAATACTGTAACTCTTTCCATTGGGCTCCCAGCTCAGCTCCTCCTTCCATTTAGATTTCTTTCTATGCAATTTCTTTTTATGGTATCACATATTATTTTAACCATATTTTTACACTATCCTGGGCTTTGCTAAGAGTGAAGGGCAGATTAAAATGTCTTAATACATGTAAATAATGGAAATGCAATAAACTGTGGTTATCTGATGTGGGAAGTGCCCATTTATCCTTTACATAACAATTCTGAGCATGTCTACAGAGAAGTAAACCCAGATGAGTTCAGGTAGATTTAAAACCTTGGGAGCATATTTGCCAGTTTATTCTGCTTGCCTAGTAAGAAAGTCCCTTTATGTTCACTACGGAAAATTTAACACTGAATAGTTCCTTACACAACGAAAATCGGCTCAGATAGAGAACCCTCTCTTTAGCTTCATTTGTCTTATTAAGTCTCAAGGTGATATGAGCTGAGTCTTCTGCTAGCTACTCCTGTTAAATAGTATTTTACCAAAATCCAAAACCAGTACCAGATGCTACTAGAGGATTCATTGGCAGTATTTTGAAAAAAGGATAAATAGGTTCCTATTGTCTCTCAAACACTTCCCGAGTTTCTATGCACCTCACAGTTCATTTACATTTTTCTTGCCACCTGCCAAATCCAGGAAATTGGATTTTACCTAAATTATGATCTTTAAGGATAATTATTGGTGCCAAACCCTCCTCTCTCTTTGTAATCTGTGCATTCTTTATCATCTTGATTAATTCTGAAGACATAATGCCCTAGGAAGCCTTTGACATGTGAGAGATGAGATAGTTATTAATGTATTTAGTTCCTGGTGTGAATAATTTCAGGTGCGTAAATGCAGGATTTATATAAGGTAGGACTATTCCAGGAAGAACTTTTTTAAAAAAATAAAAATAATTTAAAAATTAACCATTATACACCATGCAGGAAAAATTGGAGGAGTCAACCATTTTCTCAATAGCTCTGCTGACTCGATCCAAATTAGCTTTGGATTCGAATTCAAGGCAATTATTTTAATTTATTAAGCCATACGTGGTGTGGGCACAATGTATATAATACAGTGCTACTCTACACATGACTCTGTTTCCATACAGTGAATGAAAATGACCTGCTCGGGCCCCTGTTTTTGCACAGCTTGTAATCTAGCAGGGCCCGATTTTTGCTGGCTCTGACAATGAGGCTTGTTGAAGTCATGAGGCCATCCTCACCTTTTCCTGGAAGACTATGGAATCCTGCCCGTTTATAGACATCCCAAAGGATAATCAGTGCATGGCTAAGGGATTGAAGATGCTTTGCATACCAAGCATGTGCTGCTCTTGTCACTGACTACAGGGCATCTCTTGTTCTTATCAAGGACATGGATCGAAGCTAAGCTCCTGGCACAGAGCCATAACTAGCCGTTCTGGCACCTAAGGTTAGCGGTGCAAAATGTGCACCACCCAATCCGGCAACAGGCAACAGTCCATGTAGGGCTAGTCTCTAGATTTAGCACTGCAGAGATCCCCATGCAGTCGTGGTGCCTTGCTCTTTTCTGTTACTGCCTCCTCTTTGCTCAGCAACACACTTGGAAAGTTCTTACGCGAATGGTTATGGCTTTTTCAGGCTGCTACTTACTGTCTTGCTGCCTTTTTTGGATAGCTGTCAAAATTCCCCCTGCTAGCACAGTAGTGAGAGGGTCCAAGGCATTTAAAAACAACCCCTGTAACTTTATTTCATATGATTCCTGTCTTGTCTGCTGCAGACACTCTCACAAACAGACACAGAGGTAAAAATAAAGCTACAGTAGTGCCATTTATTCTAACACAGTGTTGCACTTTGAGAGAGGAGGGGGGGCAAAAAAGAAGGGGAAGTTCAGGAAAGAAACACAGCTCTGAGATAGCAATAGAGATTTATAATTCTATAGAGGCTAAGAAGGAAAAAACATAAATGCACTCTCATCTCGGTGCAGTTTATTGCCTTGATTTAATGTTGAAGGGAGCTGATGTGACCTTAAATCATTTCAGGCTTGATGCCATTAAAAAGTCACATGCCCAACATTCATCTTTGTGCAATTTTAGTAGCTCTCCAAATAGGTATTCTTGAGGGACACTGCTTCGTAAGAACCCAGTGGTTATTGAGAAACTGGACAGGAAAACATCCTTCTGCTGTGGAGGGAAGTGGAGGCTGCCCCGCATGTAACATGTGTGTTTCCTTCATAGACCAAGTATCAGTGCAGTGCAGATGGGTACCTGGTCACTTTTAGATCACTGAGAAAAGTCTTTCTTTCCCATGATGACATGAAATCTGAAAGTATCACCTTCCCAGCATGTCAAATCAAGCAAAAGAAGCCACTCCCATTGCATCTCCGTACCCAGCAGATGTTGTTTTTCTCCTCTTGAGCTCCTCTAGGAAAGATCATTTTGTGCACAACAACACTTGTCCTATTAGTACGCAGAAAGTGTTTCCCTGCACCCTGCTTCGTTCTTGCCTCTTTCAGCTAACTTTACTTGTTTATCATTTTCATGTTGTTAATTCCAGAGGGGAAGAAGGTGTTGACTTGATCCACTGTCTCAGCTGTGATAGCAAGGGTTATTCCATTAAGAGTATGGCAGCTGGCACATTTTTCCTTCTGCCCGCAGAAGATTGAGGCCTTTATTTTATAACAGAGCTCACCATCCAAAGGTCACGTCTTCTGCTAAGCAGTCAATTAGAAAATGTCTGGCTGTCTCTCCATTTTATTTATTTATTAAAGTGTTTCTTTCTCACCTGTGCTTACCAATCTCTAGTGTATTTCCATCCTCCCATTCTCTTAGCCTCTCTCTGTCATACATGATCTTGGACAAGTTATTTTATTGAGTTGCAGTTCCCAGAATCCCACAGCCAGCATGATTCCCTAGCGACTGGTTAGGAGAAAGTGAGAGCTGTTGTCCCAAACAAGTTTCTTTTTCTGACCTCCGCTCATGCAGACTTATTTAGAGGTAAGTCCCAATGAACTTAGTGAGACTTAATTCTGTGTACAAAAAAGAAAGAAAGAAAGAGAAAGAGAAAGTGAGGAATAGGTAAGAAAGCAGGAAAATGAATGACATGGGCTAATTTATTGCTGTCTGCTTGGAGGCCTCTGAATTCGACTTAGCTCACTGTGACTGAGAATGACGTTTGTATTCACATAATCCCTTCCACACTTTAATTTAATAAAAAGTTCAAGAATTAGCCGCCACTTATGGTGTACAATAAATTTGTCAAACAGTGACACTGTGAAAGCAGGCCGCATTAAATGGGTTACAATTTCAGTTGGATGGATTATAAATTCTCCAGATTTGGAAGTCACGGCTTGCCTATTGCTACTCAAAAAAAGTTTTGTCTGTTGCTTTTCATGCAAATAGCCTCAAGTCCTTCACCAGAAAGGCAAGATGCAGTTCGGCCCACAAGCAAGAATCCATTGACCTGGACTGTTGATGACGTCATTTGGTTCGTGAAGGATGCTGACCCTCATGCTTTGGGACCTCATGTGGAACTCTTCAGAAAACATGTACGTAAAAAAGTTATTCCTGTTGGAATAAGATTATTCAAATCTGATCTTTTAATAGATAGACCAGGCTTGAACACTTTGGGATAGAACGAAACCAGCTAGATGTGTATGATGGTCCAACAGCTCCTTGATCAACATACTGGTTTGTTATTTTGTCTGGGCCTATAGAAAGAGGAGGTAGCAATATGAGGCAGCTGGCATGGGCAGTTAGGTCACTGGAAAAATATATGCCATTGGCCTCATTGAGACAGTAATGGCACAGGGGTATAATCAGTTATATTATTGTAGTTGCTTTTGGTATCTGCTGGGCCAATGCTAACATCCCTATGTCAGTATTAACCTAATGGAAGAGTAGAACATTCTTCCCTAGGGACCATTGTAAGTCCTTCTGATCCAGAATGTATGTTATCTGAGTAGTGGGGGAGATCAGGACAGATAAAAGGGAGCACATCTTCAAAAATGCCTAGTGCACTATGGAGTTCAGAACCACAAGACTGAGTGATGGCTACTAACCGAAATGGATTTAGAGGAAGATTAGAGAAATAAATACAGTGGTACCTTGCTTGGCGACATTAATTTGTTCCAGCAAAATCACTGTAGAGCGAAAAAAGCGTCAAGCGATATAAAAAAGCCCACTGAAATGCATTGAAAACCGTTCAGTGCGTTTCAATGGGCTGAATACCTGCTCGTCCAGCGAAGATCCTCCATACAGTGGCCATTTTCAGGTGCCTGTTAAGCGAAAAATGCATCCTAAAAACAGCGGGGAGCCATTTTGAGCAGCCGGTGGCCATTTTGAAAACCCGACAATCAGCTGTTTTGATTGCTGTAATGTGAAGAATCAGTTTCCGAAGCAGGGAACCGATTGTCACAAAGCAAAAAAAACAACCCCATTAAAACATCATTTTGCAATCACAATTCCGATCGCAAAAACATCATCGTGAAGCGGATTCGTCATTATATGGGGTAATCATTAAGCAGGGCATGACTGTAGTGGTTTAGGCTACTAGTTTCAATAGAACGTAAGTAGGAGGGTGCTATTATCTTTATTTCTTACTTTTGGTCTCTCCATAGGCATTGGATTGGCCACTGGGCCAATACAATAGGTCTTTGTTCTGAGCTAGTATGGCTCTGCTTACATACTTACATTCTACTGCCCTTATGCAGAACTGAGCTCAAATGGGAAATAAATTCTATTAACTGTTCTTCTCGCCTGGCTATTACAATTGGCAGGGTGTAACTGAATCCTCTCCTCCTGTATCAGAGGTCTGAGTAAAAGACAATGTACCTAAGAGGAGAGGTGTAAGGGCAGCTAATGGAAGAAAGTGAGCAACATGGGCCTTCCAAAAGCAAAGAAGAGGAAGGGAAAAAAAGGGTACTAGAGAGTTCAGAGAAGATTAAAAATGTTAAGAGAAATCAAAACAATGAAAGAGCTGCTAGGATGGTGAGCAACATGGGCCTTCCAAAAGCAAAGAAGAGGAAGGGAAAAAAAGGATACTAGAGAGTTCAGAGAAGATTAAAAATGTTAAGAGAAATCAAAACAATGAAAGAGCTGCTAGGATGATAGAATCACACACACACACACACACACACACACACACACACACACTGCTTGAAACCTGTGGTGTTTCTGCATTCATTCCTCTCACACTAAAGATGATTGGCAATTGTTCCAGGATAATTTTTATAAAATACTTTACACAACTATAGCTAATGGACTGAATTCGCTCACACTGGATGCAGTTGTGGCCACTGTCCCAGAGGGCCTGGCCAAATTCTCAGGCAATAGTTCTGTCACTGGCTAATAGCTATCACTGCCCTGGACAATTAAACAGAACCTTATGGGTCACATAAGCATATGTCACTGAATACCAGTTGTTGGAGGATCAAACTGGGAGACAGTGCTTGACGTTGGACTTATCTTCATGCTCTGCATTAGCTGTTGTGGGAAGCCCAACACTCAGCTGGTTGCTATCTGATCCAGCAGGGCCCTCCTTTGAAGAGTGCCTGAGAAAGAAGCATTTCCCCCCACCCATCTGTGCCACACCATGGTTCCTGATAATGGTATGCAAAGGTAGATGACTTCTAAATTTTCCATACTGGAGCACCCACTAACCTTCCGCTTATAATTCAGTCAGCTTCACAGGGAAACATACAAGAGGTCTGACGCTTGATTAAGGCCATCACACGATTCTGCTCAATTATGCCTTTGAATTACTCATTTCCCTGCAATTGTTCAACCTTCATATCTAAACTGGATTAGCAGGAAGACCCCAGAGGTGAGAGACAAGTGATTACTCCATTAACCTTAGCCATGTCTTCCTGGGAGTTAAACGATTCTGAGGAGCAGGTGCATAATTTAGTACGAAGCCCTGAATGCCTTTGACAATTCCCAAGTAGCACCTGAAAGCCTTCTTTTTTTCAGGCAGCTGATTTGGTGATGATATGTCAGGACTGCTGAACAAGAGAGAAATGCAGGGGATGACCACAATAAGTTTAAATTCTTTGTGCTTCTTCTCTCTCTTTGTCACACAAGAACAAGCTTGTGTTGAAACCAAAGATGCAGGAAAGCTTTGTTTGGTTCACATTTTTTTTTCTAATCAAAAAGTGCATTGAAAATGCACATAGGAGGGAAAAGGATGCACAAAAAGATCCTTGTTTTAGGACAAAATATGTATCACATCAGTTTATGATTGGCAAATTGCTTGCAAAAAGACACATGTTAGGAGAAGTGTTTATAATGTCCTTTAAAAGAAATGAATACAAAATGCATACAGCTTTTCATACACATTTTAAACAGAATTCACAGACTGTTCTAGAAATGAGATGAAATTAGCTTAAGGTTGTGAAAATGAGAGACTTAATTAAACAAACTCAACAGATTTGCTCAGCCCTAGGTGTGAACAATATACTTATGGAAAACAATCTACTTTATGACATTGGGAATACTTCTGAATAAGTTTCATTTCTCCTGAATGATGGGATGCAAAACAAGGCAGGCTGCACCTGGCCCCAATTTCCCAGACACACTTCCTTCACCTGCCACCCCTCCATTATTTCTGAAGAAAGCACAGAAGAGTTTGGGGAGTCTGACCTGGAAAAGAGCAGGAGTGAAATTTGGAGAGAAAGCAATGAGGAATGCAGGTTAAGCTCAAAGGGAGCAAATACATAGCAATGCCAAGCAGAAAGTGAGCAAAGCGGAGCAATGGGCTTCTCATTTAATCTTGATCTGTAACTGGAAAATGAATATTGAAGGAAGAGTAAAGCTTTTGAGCTGAGGCCAATTAAACCTGTTCTTCTAGAATTGTATCCTGCCTCTTCCATTGATGGATATTATAACTGAAAGCGTATATTGTTTCATGGAGCTGAACCATCTTTGTATTGATTATTCTAGCTTTCTTCCAATTAGCTTACCACCTTTTACAGTGTTTCCTGAGCAGCGTGACTTTACTGCTGGGCAAAGTCATTCTTTTTAGTTCCTTTGAACAGCAGAATAGGACAAAGAAATTGGGTTGGCAGAGCAATCCTTTCATGGCTGTTTCATTACCAGACGTAGTGTATTACCCTTTGAGCAGTCATGTTCAACACAGCCTTCTGATTTAGTGCCTGTTTGTGTTGGACGGTGGTGGACCTTTCCACAGCACTTAGCACTAAGCTATTAATACAGATCAGATCTATAACTGATCCAATCCTATAACAATGGTTATTCTTCATGATCTCTGTGATTCACACACATGGTTTCTTGCAAAGAACAACCTGTGGAATCTTCCAGAACACAGTAGCCTCTAACATCTTTCCTCTTCCTGTCCCTCTTACACACAGTGAGCTATTCCTTCCTTAGATGTTTTTGCTCACCATGGCAGGAGCATAAGATTTCTTCAGAGATACATGCCTCAGTGATTCAATGCTATCCTGAATTTTGATTGCAGCGTGCGTCCCTTTTCAAAGTGGCAAATGCTGTAACACAAGCCTTACAGAGTCTGCAAATGTATACATTTCTTTTCTCATGCCTGGTTAACTTTGAATGATGTATATGTAGCTTCATCAGTGTTAATGAAATTCATGATACCAATAGGTACCAGTGTGTACCAATACTACCAATGGTAGGGTAAGTGAAATTACTTCTTTAGTTTTGTTGCCTCTGCTGGACCATTGCTGATGTGCTAAATCACTTAGATTGAAACCGCAACTGCAGGCAGTTTTTCAATGTGAACTACACACAAAAAAAATGTTTCTAAAAAATTAATAATTCAGCACATCATTGATGGTCTCGCAAAGACAAAAATTAATAATCTCATTGCTCCTGCCCCTCCACAGAGGAACAGTAGAAGTGTTCAATTTGCTACTATTTTGAAGTGCTTCACCCTACCAGAAATTGATAGTGGAGAGTGCCAGGCTCAATAAGGTCACTTGAGGTCAGCATGCTATTCCGACACAAGGATCATAACAAATGGCATATTGTTCCTCCCCAAAATCTCAGGCATCCCTATTTAGGCCACACCAGCCTGCTCCAAAAGGACCATTATAGTCACAGCCTTGGGCATGTCCAGACTGACCATTTTGGGTGGGAGTAGATTGGGCTGCAAAGGGTCTTTGGAAGTCAGGAGGAGGAATAATGTGCCATTTGGCAGGCTCCTCCCATACAAACAGCAAATGGCCCCTTGTAGCCCAATCAGCTGACAATTAAATGCTTCCGTTGATCATCTGTGCGGGATAGGGGAAGTAATTTTTTTTTCATATCGCTCCTCTCTCTGTCTGTCAGTGCTGTTCCATTACCCCCCTTCTCCCTCCCTGCTTCCCTTCCCTCATTCTCTCCCTGGTTTTTCTCCCCTTCCTCAAAATCTGCAGCTACAATGACAGAGGCTGCTGGAAGCTTCTATTTCCAGGCTAAACAAAGAGTATGCCAAAAAGAGTGCATGCCCTATTGCTGGGCCAGAAAAATGTGCAACAGTAAGAGTATGCCAAAAAGAGTGCATGCCCTACTGCTGGGCCAGAAAAATGTGCAACAGCTCTTAAAGGGGAAGGATGGGTCATTCTAAGTAGAAACACTTGCAAAGTCTTTTTTTTCAGTACAAACCATGCTATCAGCAATCCATATATCATATCTGTATGCCAGTGGAGATGGGCCCTAATTTTGAAATGACAACCATCGGTTTTCTTCTTCTTCTTCTTTTTTTAATTTCTCTTCTTTTTTCCTTTTCCTTCCTTCCTTTTTTTGTTCTTTCTTTCTTTTTTTGTTTTTAAACTAGGAGATTGACGGTAATGCTTTGTTGCTCCTGAAAAGTGACATGATCATGAAATATTTGGGCCTGAAGTTGGGACCAGCCTTGAAACTCTGTTACCACATCGATAAACTGAAGCAAGCCAAGTTCTGACTTTCTCTAAAAACACCAAACAATCTCAGTGTAACTCAAGAAAGTAGACTGAAGGTAATGTGTTGCCTTACAAAACAGATGTCCATTTTTAAGCTGTTTCCCTTCTTTTTGTACTGAGAACTTGATCTTTATACAAATATACATCTTCACCTTTTTGTATCCAGTGCTGAAGTGCGGGGCGGGGGGGAGGGTCTGTTGCTCTGCTTTATGTTAATATACTTTTTGTTTTACATACAAAAAGGTATATAATTATTATTTTTTATTGTTCATATTGTTATTATTACTATTGCTGTTGTTATTGTTAAGTCTATTTTTATAACCTCAAGTGGAAAATCAGGCACAGAGAGAACTTTTAGGGGAAAGCTTTTCCTGTTCCATTTGTTTTTGAAAGGCTTTAGGAACTTCTGGGTTGCTCTGCCTATGCATGTCTGTCCCTTGATCAGTGCAGCATCGGAGTGACATGCTTTGTGAAAAAGCTATCATGGTCACAAGGCTTTCATACAATCCCAGAGACAGTACTCTTCAATGCAGTAATTGTTCAGTGGCAAATAATCAACTGCTGATTAATCCAGTGATATACATACATACAGTATGTGAATCAGCTCTGCTCTAATTCTGCTGTGTAATCACTGACATTCTTTTGTCATGGGTAGTCCAGTTTTAAGAAAAAATACATTTGGGATATAAAAGGTGGCAAAAGTCTAAGTAAGTTAGAGATGTCAGGAGCCCTGGTTGCCCCTTTCATCTCTAGGGAATAAAGACAAGAGTTCTTCTCCTTGGGAGGACAAGAAAATGGTCTGAGAAGGAAGTGACATCAGCAACCCTAAGAATAGCAATATAAGGTTGAAAGAACGTCAACATAAGTCACAGCATGTAAAGGACTGTCTAGAAAATCTGTGGAATTCCTTTTTCTGCTCCTTCCCATGTAATGCTTTTGAGCGTATTCCGAGTTGGACCTAGTTACTTCCAGTAAGAATACTGATCCTTACCTTCTGAATGGAACTGGACACCACATTTGGTAGAGAGCTTTAGGGCTTGCATTAATGTCTGTTTGCTCCAAATCTTATGGTGCAATGACAGGCCTGCACAATGTTATCTGCAGTTGGTGAAGAATTAAGACAAGCAGGTAGGATTTGTTTGCCCTTGAACACCCTTGTCATTTGCCAACAAATAACTGGAGATCTGAGATCAAACTATACAGAGCAAATAGCATTTTACTGAAAGTTGGGATTCCGTAAGTAACAAAAGGCACCTGATTGTCCTTTCACACACTTTCCTGTCTTGCAAATTAGCTGCTTCTGTTTCGTGATTGGTCTTTGGAAGGTGAAACACAGGCTTCATTTGCAAGTCTCATTACTCAAGCGTGATGTTCTGTGGATCCCTATCAACACTTCAGTCATGTTCTATCTGTATTGCCTAATCTGACCCTGAACAGTCAGCTGGTATTAATAATATTCCTCTTCTAGCCACATTTCTGGTAAAATAAGTAGCCTGGCTACCTCTTCTTATGGTTTATTTAATTAAGGATATACTGCTACAAAATATTCCTCATTGGCACCATCACAAGAGAGTTGTGAGATAACAGTGTCATATTACTATCAGGTGGGAAAATCTCCACCATTCCTTCCACTATCTGAAAAACAAGAAATGTGGATTTCTATGAGCCCAAATGCCTTGTTTTTCTCCACTCGAACTGCAGATGATAATTAACTCCAGTTTTGAGCTGCGATGGCATCATTGCTTTCTAGAAGAGCAACTTCCCCTTGAGCAGTATCTCACCTTCAGTTAAATATGGAATTGCTGCTCCACTCTAATCAAGCTTTCCTGATTCACAGATGGTGCACTCTGCTCTTCAGGCCCAAAAACCCATTCTTGGGCGGCTGCCACAGCAACTGATAATGAACCATGTTGCCAGGACTTGTGGGTAGAGAGTGTGCTAAACGCAAAAAAAGTATCTTGACCTGCCACTTTTCCTTCTTAATTGATCATATTTTGGCAGATGTTTTGTAATGCATTCTGGAAAAGAGAGGAGGCGGGAGTAGAATGCTCCAGGAAGGAAGGAAACAAAATTAAGTGCTCCGTAGTAGATTCACAATGACATTACTTGTAGAAGAAACATAGATTTTCCCTTAGCTTTATCTTGCAAATGTAGTGGCACTTTCAGAAAATCTTGTTAACAATCCACTGACATGTTATCCTATAAAATGGAAGTGCATAACCTCTATCCTAACAATAATAGGATTTTCTACATCGAATAGAGCCATGGTTGTAGGAGGCTAATAGGTAGATTTTTAAGAGACCTTAAACAGGTATATTTGAGAAAATGTGTATCATTTTGTTTTTCTCATTGTAACATGTGTAACTAAGTTATTACCTTTCAGAAAAAACTGTTTTTCCATAATCTAGCAAATATGCTCCTAAATGTTTACACTGTTTTAAAGTTTGCTGTTTTATTATTTTCATGTATATTAGTGTGAAACCAAACATCTTGGAGATGTACATTAATTAATATAAGGGGTGTGTTTTTGTGTATGTGTGTGTCTATTTATTATGCATACACACACAACACACACACACATACTCAAGGTCTTATTCTGCCCATACATCAATAACATAAACAGCTTTGCACTATTATACTGCAATCAATAGCTCTCCATGAACCCACGAAACTTCTTTCTCCTCTTGGACATGTGCTCTACAGGAGAGGGAAGTATGCTGTTTGGAGTGCACGACTGTAGTATATATAAATGCTGCTGAACCATGACTTGGATTCCTATTAATATGGCTCCTGGATGTGTCCCACAGGAGTCTCCTACATGAACATTAGCAACTGAGATAGGAAACCTATTACCATGTGCTGATCATGTGTTTATCAAATTGGTTTTCGGGGCCGTATATCATTATACTGATGGTTCAACCTATTTTTGTGAGTGCATGTCAACTTGGTTACATGCATAAATATCTTGTCATTTTAACTGAAATGTTTGTGTGAATGAAGCTATTGGCATACAAAATGATTGGAAAGCAGATACTAGTTAATCTACAGCACGTTAGGTCCCAGGGGGCATATGGGGTGAACTGGAAACATCCTGTCTGATCTTAACAGGATATGTGTACAATTATACCAGTTGCTGTTTTACAGGGGGTTGGACTCAATGGCCTTATAGGCCCCTTCCAACTGCATTATTCTATGCTTATTCCATGATAAAATAAAGGTGTTCAATATCTTCTGTATCTCTATATGCAGAGTAATAATGTTGTGTCCTGAAAATCCTCTGACAATCTTCTCATGTAAACAGGCTGCAAAGTGGACATGGGTGGGTTTCCCTCCCGGTGGGGGCTTTCTGGTTCTCTTTAAGACCAGCAGGTCATCTATGGCCTCAAGTCCTATATTAGCCTGAATGCATTGCCTGCCTTTTTCAGAAGCCCTGTATCACAGTAAAGACTGTTCCTGTTTGCCATTCATTTTATTTTGCATTGTGTCTTTGTTTAATTAATTGTATCTGGAAGGCAAAATTTCCAAGATTACCATATAAGTGTCCTTCCAAAAAATTTTTTTGAAAAAAGGAGTGTTGTCACCTCAGCACTTGGATTTGACTTCCCCATTGTTGGTAATTTCCAAAAAAGTAGACAAATTAATATGATGCAGCAAAAGCAACATGGTGGCAGACTAATAAATTTATTATGGCTCAAGCTTTTGTGGAACTACAGCAAATTTGCATCCAATTGCTCTTTTTCAATAAATCCTAGCAGCTGCCCTGGTCCTGAAAAATTTCCTCTCATTTACTAATTGCTATCCACATAGGTGGATGGAAGACAACTCAGTTGCACTAAGTTGGGTACTTGGCTACAGAGTCAAAGGTCAGGGGTTTGCTTCCTTACAGTGCCTCTGAGGAGAAAAATCAACCTGAGTAGCCTTGGAAGAGCCGCACAGTCCCAGAGCAGCCACAGAAGAAGGGAATTGTAAACCACTTCAGAGTACATCTAGAAAATCCTGGAAACGGTTGCTATTGGTTGGAATCAACTTGATAGCATATCTTTTAATATTAATTATTTCCGTATATCTTCCTGCTTTTATATATCTTGGTTCAATCATCAGATGGAGACTGCAGCCAAGAAATCAGAAGACTGAGTCTCAGAAGGGCAGCAATAAAAGAATTAGAAAAGATAATCAAATGCAAGGATGCGATCACTGGAAACCAAGGCCATCCATGCTCTTGTATTCCTGATCAACATGTGAAAGCTGGGCAGTAAAGAAAGTTGCCAGGAAAGTCTGAAATATGGTGCTAGAAGAGTGTTTTTGAGATACTCGAGACTGCCAGAAAGACAAAGAAATGGAACCTAATGAAGCCTGAACTATCTCTGGAGGCAAAATGATGAAACTGAGGCTGTCCTACTTGGGTGAATAATGACAAGGCAGGATTCTCTGGAAAAGACAATAATGCTGGGAAAAGGGGAAGGCAGCAGGAAAAGAGGAAGACCAAATATGAGATGGATTGACTCCCCAAAGGAACTATAGGCTTGAGTTTACAATAGCTAAGCAAGACTGTTGAGGACAGGGGATTCTGGAGATCTCCCAGTCCTGGGGCCACCATAAGTCAGAGGCGACTTTATGGCACGTAACAACATATTCCATGGTTCCGGCTGATGTGTTACGGCACTGTGCATACAGACCTATGTTGTAACGGCCTCCCTCTATATGGTGCTAGAAGAGTGTTTTTGAGATACTCGAGACTGCCAGAAAGACAAAGAAATGGAACCTAATGAAGCCTGAACTATCTCTGGAGGCAAAATGATGAAACTGAGGCTGTCCTACTTGGGTGAATAATGAGAAGGCAGGATTCTCTGGAAAAGACAATAATGCTGGGAAAAGGGGAAGGCAGCAGGAAAAGAGGAAGACCAAATATGAGATGGATTGACTCCCCAAAGGAACTATAGGCTTGAGTTTACAATAGGTAAGCAAGACTGTTGAGGACAGGGGATTCTGGAGATCTCCCAGTCCTGGGGCCACCATAAGTCAGAG